GCTGAAGAAAAAGAGAGAGAGAGAGAGGATATATAATATATATATATATATTAGGGTTTAGGGTTAAGGTTAAAATAATTAAAATAAATACTTTTGGGTACTTAAAAATTAAACTAATTACATAATAATTATCTACAATTAAAAACGTACATCTTGTGCTATTACAATAGTTGATACGGAATAGTCGAAATATACCCATATTATACAATTAAACAGAATAATTAATAAATAAAATATATTTACTTATATTTATAATCAAACAATTATGGGATAATTATATACACAGTGAAACGTACAAGTTATACTAATGCGACAGATAATATGTAACAGTAGAAATAATACAGCAAATTATACAAATAATACGTAATTAATAATACAACGTATTATACGAAAATATACGTAATAATAAAAATAATACAACGTATTATTCAAAATGACATGTAACAGCATCGATAACGCAACAGATAAATTTTATAAATTTTCACCGCATAAAATTAATTTATAAATATTAATATCATTTAAATAAATATAAAACTTAGACTTTAAATCATAAAAATTGTAGAAATTCGAGAAAAATATAAATACTATTTTAAAAATCATAATTAAATATTTTAAAATACTAAAAAATTATTTTAACCAGTATCAAAATTCTCGGTCATTACAGTACTTGTGCATATGAATAGTAATAGTACTTATGAATAGTTCGTACGTATGAATAGTAATAGTACGTATAAATAGTACTCGTGCATATGAATAGTAATAGTACTTATGAATAGTGCTCGTACGTATAAATAGTGATAATATTTATTAATAGTTTCCGGTACATATGAATAGTACCGTACTTATGAATAGCTATGTATGTATAAATAGTAACATTATTTCTGAATAATACCCCCGTACATATGAATAGTAACCGTACTTATGAAAAGTATCCGTATGTATGAATAGTAACAGTATTTCTAGCGGTGGACATGTACATATAGTTTTAATTAGTAATATCATGTCTTTAGAAATTTGGTCTTATATTTATTCATCAATTTTCATCAATATCATGCATTTTCTTTTTTTTGGGATTTGATCTAAAATTCATCAATTTTCGTCAATATCATGTTTTTTCTTTCAATATCAAAACTAAAAGGAGATGGATTTGGAAAGAGATAAACTTGCCTTTATTGATCTCTGAAATTGGAATCTCTATCCGTTACTGTTCTCCGAATTGCCAAAATCCCATTTCATTCCTTCCTCTCTCTCTCTCTCTCTCTCTCTCTCTCTCTCTCTCTCTCTTTCTCTCTCTCTCTCTCCCTTTCTTTCTTTCTGCGTTGTGTGAAGAAAACGTAAGGGGAGGGACCCTTTTATAGGAATCAAATGAGGGGTAGGTGAGAGGAGGTTAGGTGGTATTGGGTTAGGATTATAAAATATAACATTTTATGTTATTTAAAAAATAGGATTTCAGACTCCGTTCTCAGAAAGCAACGAAAATTTATAAATGGCACCGTCTCGCCATTCTAAGATCAATGACATAAATCTCGTGCCCATCTAATCAATAGAAAAATTACTGAAAATAAAATAGTATCAGTTTTCAGTAGACTCACGATACCGAGGCTAAAACTGCGAATCGATCTCAAATCGATTCCAATCTGATCTATTCATCCCAGAATAATCACCAATCATAATAAAACTCATTTATTATCTTTTATAATAATATTTTCAAAATTTTCGGGGTTTTACAATATGCACATATATACAGCTGGGTTCGAAACAAAACGAATCTAACCCAAAACCTCTAAGAAATCTGAAAATAACCTAACTAGTCGACTAATACCACCATTAGTCAACTAATGGCCTTATTAGTCGACTACTAAGCTTAGTAGTCGACTACTAAGACTCAAATTAGTCTATTTGAAAAAAATAAGTATTCTGTATTTTGACTGTAACTTTCACGTCCGACCTCGGAATGAGGTGATTTAAGATGAGTTGGAAAACTGTTGAAGATACCTACAACTTTTGTCTTGTCTTTGAGTTTTTCCAAATTCGATCTGTATCTATGTGTAAAACATAAATATTCTTCACTGTCGATTTTTCCAGATTCAGACTCGTGCATGTCGTGCATGATTTCACTCATATATTCATATATATACATTGGATTGATCTTAAATCAATCGCTAGCATACTCAAACATCAATATATGTTATTTATCACCATATAATATATTTATTATTATTTATCACCCTATATTTAAATTTACGGGGTTTTACAAAATATTACATTTAAATCCTAATTAAATTAAATAAATTAAAAGTTTTAAATATAAAAACATCTCTCTTTTATTTGAATATAAAACTACATATATAACAATATTTGTTTTTAAAATATAGCATAAAAATGTTATGCTATCAGCTTTTATTCTTCGATAACAAATCCTAAGAATATCTCTGAAAGTGATGTGACCCTTTTATAGAATTGGATTGGAGATCTTTTGAAGAGGCTGACGTTCGAAAATTTTAATGATTTGTCCCTGTTTTTTAGAAGTAGGAGTTGGGGGAAAAACTTTCATTGGTCAATACTGCCCTTGGCTCTTCTAAATATTACATTTAGATCCTAATTAAATTAAATAAATTAAAAGTTTTAAATATAAAACATCTCTCTTTTGTTTGAATATAAAACTATATATACCAATATTTTTTAAAAAAAATATAGCATAAAAAATTTATGCTATCAGCTTTTATTCTTCGATAACAAATCCTAAGAATATCTTTGAAAGCGATGTGACCATTTTATAGAATTGGATTGGAGATCTTTTGAAGACGTTGATGCTCAAGATTTTTAATGATTTGTCCCTATTTTTTGGTATTTACCTAGATTTTTTGGCAGGGTTTTCAATGGACTATTGCTTATTGAAGGGGTTTGTTAGAAGAGAAATTTCCCAAAAAAATTGGTGTACTTTCTTTAACAATTCAAGGTAACTATTTTGGATTTTGATGGCAATTAGAATTCGGGTTCAACTAAAGATCTGATTAGAAATGGTAAACGATTGAATTGAATCCTAAGGTGTTTGTATTCGTATTTGTGTAAAATTATCAAATTTAAACCCGAATTTGAATATCCATATTCGGAGTTTTTCAAATTCAAACTTGAATACTCAGTAGTTGATAAATATTCATGAATATTTATCGAATATCAAAGGATAATGATTCTGCTAAAGAATTTGATGTTGAAATAATATTTAAATTTATTAATAAAAATATTCATTTATAATTATGATATTTATTTATTTATTTTGAATATTAATTTCAATTATCTATGTCTCTCGAAATTAGTATGTAGAACTTAAGCAAAAAATGATAAGTGGGTTGAAAATATAACATAATTTGCATAAATTATATAAATGATAAGCAATAAAATTTAATTGAATATTTGATAATAAAATGAATGGAATATACACCTGGTTAAAATTCTATCCGTTCATGAATTCGAATGCTAACAATTATTTGTTTAGTGCTAAATGGACTATCGAATCAAATATAACTATCTGATTCACACTTATTCTCTAAATTGTTTCCATTCATTTCACTTTTAAATTTATAAACTATTCTATGTAAATATTCAAGACTTCTTTTCAATTCTTTAATTTAAATATTTTTTCTTTTGAGTCAATTTCTCATTTTTGTGTCCGTGGAACAAATTAGGACATAAAAAAATTTGTCCACATGTGCATTATATGATAAAAATATTTGACAAGAGAAAAAAATGAAGATATTCAATTACCTACATTGCGCGTGCATTAATAAAAGTTAAAGTGTTAATAGTTCTAAAAGTCTTATGCTTCTTATCGGACTTGAGCCCGACAGTCCCTAAACGGGGCCACAAGTGAATATAGGAGGATCCGACCCGTTTCTTTCCCCAAAACAAAAACCCTAAAATTCTCAGTGCTCTCTCCTGCTACTCGAAGAGCGAAGAGGGTTTTGGGGAAAAAATCGAGAGGAGGGAGAAAGAGAGGGAGGAGGTCTTGAGGAGAGAGAGAGAGAGAGAGAGAGAGAGGTTGAAGATGAAAGATAGAGCGAAAACAGGGGAGACGAGCGTCGACGAGAGGTACACACAGTGGAAGTCTCTGGTGCCGGTGCTAACCTCGTCTGGCCTTCACTCTCCTGCAGGTACACCGCACCGCTATCTCTCTTAGGGTTTGCCGCTTTCGGACTGCATTAGGGTTTTTGTACCGAAATCTAACCAATTAGGGTAAATTTGGCTGATTTGTGGAGGTTTATGGGATGTTTATCATAATTTTTTGGTTATTTTTTTTAGGAATGTTTGTTTGATTAGGTATTATAGGTGAAGGAGGTGATTTTAGAACGTGTGTTGATGTGGTCTGCGAAATTTCCCCAAAGATACCATCTTTGGAATGGTAAGAGAACGTGGGCAACTAAGAAAAATAGTTTAAGCTATAAGGGAAAAAATGGGTTTTGTACCGTTTTCGTACCATATTAGGGATTAGGGTTTTGTACCGAGATTGAACCACCTTGGCTAAATTGGGCCAGTTTGATTCTCGTGTTGGAAAGGGACAGCTTTTTCTCTAGCAGTGGTGTTTTATCAATTGCCTTTGATCATAGTTATTTGGCTAATTCCTGCAGGTACAACACACCGCTCTCTCCCCTCTTTATATACAGGGGTTTCCAATTTCAGATCACATTACTGTTTTTGTGCAAAATCGGATCACTTGGGGCAGATTTGACTGATTGTACTCTCTTATGTTGGAGAAGGGTGTCTTTTTAGAAGTCATATCATGTTTTATCAATTGGGTTTGTGGGCGTATAGGGATTTAGGGGTCTATTATTACTATTGGTTATCTGTTTAGGAATATTTGTCCTTATTTGGTTTCTAGGTTGTGTTTGTTGTTGATAAGAAAATCTGTGAGAGAGATATTGGAGAACTCACCTTAGAAGCTAGTTGTTAGAGAAAAGGAATCCAAATATCTAATAAACCCATAATGATTCCCCATATAATCAAATGTTGGGTAAATGGACCCTAATTTAGGGTTTGCCAGTTTCATGTTGCATTAGGGTTTTTGTACCAGAATCTAATGACTTGGGTAAACTAGATTTAAAAATGTGGCTACCTTATGTTGGCAACAACGGGGTATATCAAGTAGTGTGGTGTTTTATCAATTTGGTTCATGGGGTTTCAAGGATTTGGCCTTCTATCATAATTATTTGGTTACTTGTTCGTTAATGTTTCCTTTCATTTGGTTTCTAGGTTAAAGAGGAGATTTTAAAACAACTTTTGTTGTTGGTAGCAAAAATTTTTGTCTAGTTGTTAAGAGTGATCAAATCCAAATCTCAAATTAACCTATAAGGATTCCCTATTTAGTCTATGTTGGACTAAATGTACCTTATAAGCTATCACACTTCCACAATCCTGACAGCCGCACAGGCTGGTTTTGCACTAGTCTAGTATTGGTCAAATATTGCAATACGGACCTTACCCCTTTGGCTTTGTACTAGACAAATACTGTAATGTGAGCATCACCATTTGCTCCAAACAGCAATCCTAGACAAATACTGTAATATGAGCATCACCATTCGCTTCACATATTTGCAATTGAGAAGGTGCGGTTAGCACTGCTAATGCTTACATAAACCTAGGAGAAGTCACCCCTAAAAGCTAGTTGTTAGATGGAAGCAACCGAGATCTCTAAAAAACCCACATCACATTTCCATCTAATTTGCTTCCATCTATCAACTAGCTTTTAGAGATGTGGGTTTATTAGAGATCTCTAATAAACCCATTAGTCAATATATTGCAACTAGGAAGATGAGGTTAGCTCCGAGACCATTTGTAAAGACCTAGGATTAACTCATCCATAAAAGCTAGTTGTTAGTAGTGTACTAAATATTAGATTGGGGCATCTCAGAGAGAAGAAAAATGCCATATTGATCGGTGGATATTGGAGATTCAGATATAATTAGTAGATATCGGGGTTGCAATATCAGATAGTGCATTCATGCGTTCTCTGTGCATGGTTGTTGTGGGCTGGTTTGTCTGCAGATGCACATACGCGTAACATGTGTAGGTGTTTGCGCATGCATTTGTGTGTGGGCTCATGGGCGGGTGTCTATGCAGATGCACAGGGGTGTACGTTTCTATGCATGTGGGTGTGTCTGAGCGAGCGAGTTTATGTGTATTATAGATGTTCATACTTGATGCCATTGGAGATGGAGTTGTGGAAAGATTGTATCTGTTTTTCATGTTTATTGAGGATGGATTTGTTGAAAGATGGTATTGTTTTTCATGTTTAAACCCTTAGGTCATGTTTGGATTGGGTAGTGTTTTGAGGTAATAAGCCTTTATCCCTTAAACTAAAATAGTTGAATGATTGGGTCAAAATTATGGGAGGGATTAGGCTGGGCTACTTAGTCCTTCAAAACTAAATAGTCAAGAGACTTTGAAAAAACAAGGGAAGGGAGGGGATGTTATTGTAGTCGCGAGAATATTTTCACTTGGGATGAGACCTTAAAATATCAACTGACCCCTTTCTTAAAAATTAGCTAAGGTTTGCTCTCTGATTATTTAGCTCACCCAATTTTGTGAATCACAACTCTGGAGAGCGTGGAGCATGTTAGTCATGGCAGCAATTTAGAATGGAGAACTCAACTCCTTCGATTAATTTTTATAACGTTAATGAACCCAAGACAAGAGTAATGCATCCGTTTTTATCTAGTATAGAAATTTTCTTATGTTGCCTTTGCTGCAGGAATGTGGTCCGATGTAAAAATATCTCATTTAGCATATTTCTCAAACAATAGCTAGGTTACAACTATTTTGCTTCATATTTGATTGGGCTATATCCTGTGTGTATTGGACTTTGTAGTACTTTCTTTTGTCATACTTTATAGAATTATGTATTGGTATGTGTATTATTTTATAGTGTTGTTCAATCAAATAGTTTTGCATTGGGCAACGTTTAACATCCTTCCAAACTTTGTCAAAATTCCCTCAAGACTTGTATAGTTGCTAGGCATAAGGGTGTTGTGGACATTTGTTGTTATGTCCTAATCCTATACCACCTTATAATGATAAGTACATATGTATTGGAGGTGTTTATAATAAATTGAACCAAACAGATCATTGAAAATTTAATTCATTATAGTCTATTGGATTATTTTATCCCAAGATTATAATGAGATAAATTAATCCCAGAATAAAATAAATCCCAATCCAAACATTGTCTTAAATTATTAAAAAAGTTACAAGTATGTCCAAATGTATATTGCTAGAACTTGATCTATTTTGTATACAACTTCAAGTTATGACTCTTTGTCATCTTGTAGGCTAAAGCTTACATAGTATTAATGATGAAAATGAAGGAGGGGTGGGGGGATGGGGGCTGTTTAAATGGCGCTATGGAAAAAGAAACTTATCAACAAGCAATCAAAAAAGATAAGGGCTTATTGTTAGAAAAAATAGTGATGAATGCATGGTTAGGGCAGTGTTGCTGGATTGTTAAATAGTTAAATTAAAAGTCTAACTCACTATAGTCTACTGAATTATTATATCCCAAGACAATAATGAGTGAAGTTAATCCAGGAATAAAATAAATCCCCAATCCAAACATGGTCTTAAATTATTAAAAAGTTAATAATATTTCCAAATGCATACTGCTAGAACTAGATCTATTTTGTATATAACTACAAGTCATTACTTTTTTCCATCTTCTAAGCTAAAGCTTACATAGCATCAATGATGAAAATGAATAGAGGGGTTTCAATGGTGAGAAATCTGTAGAGAGAGAAACGTATCAACAAGCAATTAAAAAAAAGATAACTTATTTGTAGCATCAATTAGTGATGAATGCATATGGGGCAGTGCTGCAACACAGTCCTCCTTTTAAGGCAACATGATTCACCTTAAGGAAAACGGTCGGGTATATAAAAAGCAATAAAACTTTTGCAAAATAATTTTGTCTTAATTAAACCCTAATTTTCTTCTTTTACTTATCTATATAAGTGGATATTTGTTTGGGTTTTTAGACCTCAATTGAGCTCTAAATCCAAACTTGATCCTGAATACAAATAAAAGCATATCGATTTTTTGTAACCAAAATGCCACACACTATATCGTGAAAATCCCAATATTTTACCAAAAATTGCTAAAAGTGATAAATGATAGTGAAGCCATATTGTTTGTGTAAGCCTTATAAAGGACTCATTGGCGATCGGCCATGTTGGTCGATATTGAAATTAATGGTTGTTAGACAAAGGGAACCCGAATCTGTAATAAACCCACACTTGACTCCCCTTTTGTCAATGTGAGAGTAAATGTACTTCGACAATTTTTGTTTTCGTATTTGAAAGGGTAGGGGAATGTGGACAACTAAGACGAAGAGCTTGAGTTAGGAACAAACTTACAACTTGAAGTGCCTAGCTAGGGGCTATCACCACTTCACCTTTTCTCCCATCAAAATTGCCATGGATTTGTGAATGACTTAAGGAAGAATAGGTCAAGGTCCGTTGACTGGCCGTCTACATGATCTTATTAGCCAGTGTCTGAGGTGGAAAACTAGCTATTGGAGAATCGTGGTAACTAACTTGGGGGAAGATAAAGCAGAGAGCATTCTTAAATTGGTTAGAGATCATTCTTTTAAGTTATTTGTATAGATAAAAACATTGAATAAATACTTGCTATCTATGTATTACGTGCAATAGTTTTTTTGTTTCAGTCCCTGGAATGGAATTGAAGGCTCCTGTCTAAGACGACATGAATTTTTTGTATTGCCTATTCATCTGCTATCTATCTATTTATATGTTTGTTATGTATGTTACATTTATAATAGCTACCAGGGTCGCTTACCCCTGTGTACTCATCAATAACTTCTGATTTTTTTTCCTTTGCTAAAAGGTGGGGTCCACAACTGGAGAAAGCCACATACAAGAATCGTCAACGTCTTTACCTTTCAGAGCAGGTAGTGCTACTTATCTTAATCTAACATGGGTGTTGAAGGATTTCATCACAGCTCTTGAGCTATAAACCTTTTGGCTTCATGTATTCGGACTTCGAGAACATGAGGCTTAATTGGTAGTTGTAAATGCTGTTTTAGCTTCTCCTTAAATAAACAAATTAGTCTCTGCATAATATTTCATTTACCTATATTGTGGACCTTTTTAACTTGTTAATTGGTGAAAAATGAAACAATTACTTAAGTGGCTTCCTATGTAAAATGACTTTGCTGAGTAAATTGACCAATATAATTTTGCATTCATAACTGTCTGGCTGATTATTGTATTCACTGGTTCCATGATCTCATTACTATCCTTTTTTGCAGACTGATGGCACTGTTCCAAACACTCTTGTCATAGCAAATGTTGAAGTGGTTAAACCGAGGGTTGCAGCTGCAGAGCATATATCCCAGGTTGTTTCAGTATTTTATTTATTTATTTATTTACGTACTAATCATCTAGTTGACTCTGCTTTGCTTGAGGTGGTCCACATATAGTTTAAGGTATACCATGTAGACCATGAACCTGTTAAGCTGTTTTCTCTAAGAAAACAGCAAAGAACAAATTTAAGTTGTTCTGTATGCTCTGCTCTGTCTTTTCTTTTTCTTTTTGATGCATGTTGGGTTAATTCGAATCATATGGTATATGATGTCTTGAAACATTGTATGCATATTTGTTGTTTTTTCATTTGAATAATGGTTGCCCTTTTATTTTTGTACTATTTTTTGGCCCAATGCCATTTGGTGTTCTTTTTTTTTTTGGGGAGCAAGTGTTAAACTAATATATCTAGTTATCATTCTCAAGTTGTCTAATCCGGTAGTTCCTTTAGATGATTAGTTGGTCGAATGCAAGTTATGATGGGAAATGTTTATATAGGACAATGTACTTCTAGTTTTGCTTTCTTTGGATGATATTAGTGTATATCATATGTAGAAGTTCATACTTTATGCTTTAGCATGTCCGATGCATGTTGACTGAAAAATTTAGTTTTGAGCATTTCAGTTTGGTTTCAAAGAGTTCATAACTTGATACACTAAACTTGACCAAAAGACAGTTTTTTGCCTACAATCCTGGTACTTAAAAACAGTTATTTTGGTAGTTTTTTGCAGAGATGGTCAGCTTTTTTGAGTTCATCTTTGATGCTGCACACAAATATTAATGCACAATTGTTTGTTGAATGCATTGATGAATGTGCCTGAGATTTTTTTTTCATATATGACTTATGCCTATGATGCAGAAATAAATGTCACAAAGTTTGTTCTCTCAGTACTGTAATTTTTTGCGCTTAGAATGATATAAATCTTCATGATTATAATAGCATGATAATCACTTTGCAGTTCAATGAAGAAGCACGTTCTCCCTTTGTGAAAAAGTACAAAACTATTATACATCCAGGAGAGGTATAAGTTTATCAAACCCTTGCGTTTCTTAATCTCACTTTTCCTATTTTTATTATGTTTAGCCGGTGGTATCTGAAAATAATATGCATGATAAATGAATTATGTGCATAGAATTGCTTTCTTTAGTTTTACTATATTAAGATAAGTCAGGGAATCCATGTTTACTAAGCAAAGCACTGCATTCTTGATGTCTTTATAGATTTTTGGAACTTAGTTATTCTGCAGCTTGGTAGTTCAAATTTCAAAATACTTTTTAGCTGATACATGCTAAGCGAAAAGTAACTAATTGATTAATTGTAGCCAACTCTGTTCGACTATTTAATACGATAAAATGAGGTTTTGCTACAAAAACTATCTTTATGCAACCAGTGAGTTACAGAATTAGAAAAACACTTCGTGTATGCTATACCAATCTTTCGTTTTGCAAGAATTGTGTTAGAGAATGTCTAAGAACTTTTTTCCAGATGTCTTCCTTACTAGATATATGTGAAGATGGATTCATAAGCAATATCTCTAAATGACATGGTTGGCTCGAGGTCTAAGATTTATTTTTATTTTTTGAGAAAAAGTTCAAGGTCAAGACTTATCTCCATTATCTAGAATATATTGAACAAGTGCTTGGATCTTATATCCTATTGTAGCAGTCATATTTCCTGTGGTGCTTTCAGCACTAATGCGGTGCTTGCTAAGTGCAAAAACTTTGAATGACATTTTCTTTTTGAAACACCTGGTTCCCTGTTCTATTTCTTGCTGAAGATGGCTACCATGCAGATATAGGCATCCTACATACATATATTAAGTTAAAGTATAACTACTAAAAATGTAGTCTGTTAATTGGTCTGAAAATGCTATGTTAGTTTGGAATAAATGCTAAATGATTCGAAGGCCTAGCCCTTTTGGATTATGTTTGGACATCATTCTTGTGCACTGTTGAGGGCAGAAGAACCTATCTTTCAACTTGTGGAATATTGTTGAAACTTAGGTCCGAGTCTCTGTCTACCAATTCCAAGATTGTTTCGTTCTATTTTCAGATAGGAATTGTTCTAATTCTGTTGAAGTTTGTTGAGTTATATGAAATTTAAGTGCACTATTGACTGGTGATGTTGTGCAGGTCAACAGAATCAGGGAACTTCCGATGAAAAGCAATATAATAGGAACTCATACAGACAGTCCTGATGTATGCTGTATTCTTCTCTCGTCTACTTGCAATAGCTTGCAATTCACAGTTATTTTATGCAATAATATGCCTGCTCTTAATCAAACTTTTTTGCTGCTGGACAGGTGCTCATTTGGGATGTGGATGCGCAACCAAATCGTCATGCTGTTCTTGGAGCTGCGGATTCTCGTCCTGATTTGGTCTGTTACTAATGTTATTACCTGGTCATGTGCATCCCCAAATGTTATCCTGATATCTAATATATAATATATAACATGTAATATATCAAGTGATATAGAGGGGTCTGAGGGAGCTTATTTTTAGAATCTTTTAAGATATGTTAGCTTTTGGTAGCTTTTATGATAATTTTTTTATAAAAATTGTATGGGTACAAAAGTCATTTACTTAGTAAAACCTAACTTATCTGGATGAGCTATACACTAGTAACTAGTTTTCCATACGTTGGGGAATCCCTCCTTTTTGAAATGGTATTTAAAAGCTAACTTGAGATGTTACCAAATAGTTAGACGTGGAAAAGCTAGAAGCTATTTTCACAAAATAAGCTCTCCTAAATACGCTCATAATGTGTCATAATCCTTGATAGTGGTAAGGTTTGGTGTTGAAGGACAATGTGTAACTTGCACGGGAATCGAAATAGGAGGCAGTTAGTTTCGATGTTCTCACAGATAGAGACTTTTGCTCTTTCAGTGACTTAATTGTAAGTTAGTAACTCAATGGTTGACTTGCAGGTGTTGACAGGGCATCAAGAAAATGCAGAGTTTGCACTTGCCATGTGTCGTTCAGATCCTCTTGTTCTATCTGGAGGTCGGATTTTGGCATCTAACCATTATAATTTATACCGCGATTCAACTTTCTTTATAAGCATGAAGCCTATTCATTGTTGCAATTGCTGTCTGTTTCTAAGTCACTGCAATTAAATATCATGAGTCAGTATGATGAGTTTGTTTGCTTTGAAAAATAGAGGAAATGAGATGTTTGTTCTGTAACATTTCTGTTGTCCATAATATATACGATGAAACACTGAACAAGGTTTCGAAAGAGATAGGATGCAGGTCAGGCATTTCAATTTATGCCAAGATTCCCAGGACTAAATGGAACTCTATGATAATGCAAGTATTGGATTCTCTGTGTTGGAACGCTTTTTGTTCATGAATTACTATATTTTTCTGTCTAGAAGATTTGAGAAGAATCCTTGGGAACCAGTTAGATACTAAAATCCCACTCGATAAATAATCTAGGCTAGCTTGCCTGTATGGAAGTGTCATTATCATTAGTCATTTTGATATACTCCCATGGTAATGGGCAATCCATATAGCATTTTAAATCTATAAAAATTGCCCAATTTTGGTAATCTTTATTATGCTGAACTTTTAAGTAAATCCCTGTCAGTTATAGGCAAACTGGGGGTTGCTGATTGTAGGTACTACTGTACTAGAATTGCTTCATTTGCATCTTTATTGCACAGATAGAATTGTTTTATTTGCATGTTTATTGCGTAATCCAGCTAGTTAAGCTTTTGACATGGTAACATAACTAGTCCTTCATCTAAGGTCTTATATGTCTCAGGTTAGAAGGACATTGGTTTCAGTTTAAATGTATTATTACCTTGGTTATTTTACCTTTCCAAGCAAGTTATATTTCTGGAGAACCCTTTCAATATGGAAAAATGGATCATGAAAAGGGGATTTTAGAAGGATTTTAGAATTGCTAATTGCTTCACAAGCGTTTGTGGTTCATGGCCCAATTTCTTAGCTTTTAGATAAAGTAATGATATGATACTATTGAACTGATAAGCTGTTGGGTCATGCAGTTTACGATTATGCCACCAAGCAATTATTACTTGGACAATCTTGTGGGTTGTGATGCAAAAGGAAGCGGATAATGCTTACTATAGGTTATGCATTCATCTCTTAGGATAAAGCGTCACGTGAAATGAAGCGGATAAAGCGTCCCTTGAAAATGCATCTCCAATTTCCTTCTTATTTGTAGCCACGTCTGATTCTTGTTAAGATCTTGTAGTTGGTCTATTTTTTGGAGTGGAATTGGTAAATTTCTGGTTTATTTGCGTAAAGGTATTTTGGTAACGTTATTGTACTAACTTTATCTTTGGCAAGTTTTCACCCTCGTCTCTGCTTGTTCCTCATTGTAATATGTGTTAATTTTTGCAGGGAAGGACAAATTAGTTGTCTTATGGAGCATACAGGATCATATTTCCTCTTTATCAGACGCCTCAGCTACTAAATTGTCTGGATCCAGTGGCAAGCAGCCCACAAAAATCGGCGAGGAGAAAAATTCAGATAGTCCTAAAATTGAGCCACGAGGCGTATTCCAAGGGCATCAAGAGACTGTTGAAGATGTCCAGTTCTCTCCTTCCAGGTATCTATAATTTCTAAAGATGCTAGATATGCAATTATCTCTCATTTTGTTTACCGTTGTATTCAATCTTTTGCCTCTCAAAAATGGAGTGGCCTTATATTGTTTACTCTAGAAATGATGTATTCTAACATCTTAATGCTAGCCATTCGTATACTTGATCTTGTTTTTGAAAATAGACAAGCTCTCTGGTTGCTGCAAATGGATAAAATATCTAGCTACTACCTAAAAGTGTGAAGAATGAAGATTATTAAATTAAAACTGTTTGGTCCATTGTACTTGTTTGGTTTGGCAGAACTTAATTTAGCCAATTTTTAGGCACTCCCTTCCTCTCCCAACTTCCCATCCAGTTCTACCACCTTCATCACCTCTTCTTAGCCGCCTTTCCACTTTGTCATTCTCTCTTTCCATTATGCCTTTTTGGTTATCTGAGAAAGCTAAAAGAGAGCTCTACCGGCATTGGATCTATTCTAGCAATAGGTAGCGTCACCCTTTTTGTCTAAATTTCTTCATGACTTCCTGTGCACTATAAGCTAACTCTACGGAAACAGATTGAAGTGGATAAGGGTGGCATTCTTGAACTTGCACTGCTCTCGTTGTTCATTGTAGGAAAGAGAGGGGTGGTGTCTGAAGTTCCCAGTTAAATTTTCATTATAAGTATGCTCAAATTATTCTATAAGTTCATAGTTCCAAAAATGCATGTGCTGCAATTTCCATAGAATCCAAGGTTAAGCTAAAAGTGGTGAGGAACCGCTTAGGCTTTTTGGTGTTTTAGCGGCAAAAAACACCAATAATAGAAGTGGTCCAATTTAATTATATATAAATATGTTGGAGGAGAGGACTGCGAGGAGGAAGTGGCTTAGACTGCAGAAGGAGGTGGAGGAGCTTCGACGGAAGATGTTGATGGTGAGCTTCGATGAGGAGTTCAAGAGGAGTTGATGTCGTGATGGTGGTGGTGAAGGCAGAGCTTTTTGGAGAAGGATTTGGAGGTGGATGTGATGACAGGGGGCGGATTTGTCAGTGAGAGGTGGCGGAATTGGCCGAAGGCAGTGGACGAGATGGCTGGACCAGGAGTTAGGGTTAAAGTTTATTTTCATCCAGAGTTGCAAAAGCGGAGAGGAGAGAGAGAAGTAGAGGGTTTTACGTAAGAAAGTGGGTCGTGTTTGGGTCGGGCATAACATGAACTTGTATTTGTTTTTTCACAGCATTGTTAAGCTCTTAAAAGCGCTTTTTGATGCTTTTACGAGCTTTCTGCTATGTTTTTGAGCAGAAAGTAGCAGAAAGCGCCATGTCTGCTTTCAGTAGCCGCTTTTGACGAGAGTGGAGCGGTGAGGCACCGCTTCCACCTTGCGGATCCCTTTAGTGACCAAAAGTGGGATTTGTCTCAACACTAGAATCAAAGATGCCCTTACAGGAGTTTAATTTGTGTTTCTCTCTTTACCATTGTTTTTGAAACATCTTATAATAGCCTCACCATTATAAAATTATTCATTTTAGTTGCATGAGCGTTGCATATGCCAAAGATGTTTTATTTTATGGTTTTTCTCATATTAGACGCTAGTACAATCATATTTTTATATTACGCCTCCCCATCTTCCTATTTATAGTTTGCATTCTCAAATTCTCTTTTAATTTTTTTAATTGCTCCTCAATTTTGTCCTAATCTGTTATTATGGTGGGATTAATTCTTAACCGTTGTTAGTAATCCCTTGATACCTTTGGTTTTACTCCAGTGACTGAACTTGGAAGAGGAGAGTGGAGAGTGAACTAGGGAAAGGAGAGAGAGAGGAGAGATTAGGGAGAGAATCTGCTTAGAGAAGAGAAAGACGTGGGAGAGTATAGGTCCATGGGAGTTAAACAAGTGTAGTACAGCCTAACCAAAGGCACTAAGGGAAATTATCATTTCTTCACATTTAAGCACACCATCATAACATGGACAGAATTTTACTTTAGGTGTAACTGAGAACATCTTAAAGAATTTTGGGCAATTATTAAAAAATACGAGGATTGAGGGCATAAATATATAAAAATATGATAGAGCTTAACATCTAATATGAGAAAGCCCCTTTATTTTAAATAGGGGTAAAATTCGGACATCTCTTATAATTTTGTTTTACAATAGAGAATCGTGTCATATTTATAAATTTATCATGATGCCCTCCTTTATTTTCATTTAATGAGGATTACTTGTTGGAATGAGCTAATTTTCTAAATACCCCTAAAATATATCAGATCACCATTCAGTTTATTGCGTCATGCTATTCAGAACACGCAACCAAGATTTCAAACTCCAAGTATCTCCCATGGAAGTCGGTTGTGTCAAGTGAACGATACACGAGACTTGTGATAATTTCTTCTTGCAGTTGGCAAATACAATTTATTGTGCATGCTATTTCAACAATACAACTAATGATTCCAAACCCTGATTTTTCCCAATGGAAGCAGGTTATGTCAATTTTAAGCTACATGAGGGGCATCATGATTTCTTTATAAATGCATGATTTCTGGGATCTTAAGCCAAAATAGAGAAGGTGTTAGGAACTTCCCCCTTAAGATTAACCCCAAGCTCGGTCCGTTTATTATGCATTCTTTTTGGTGGACCTTAAGCCAAAATAGAGGAATCTGGAAGTTCCCTCTTAATAGTTTTCTAATTTCTTTTGTGTATTATTCGTGCTTTTGATATTGACATCTTTTTATTGTGTTGAAGTGCACAGGAATTCTGTAGTGTAGGTGACGACTCTTGCCTCATTCTCTGGGATGCTCGTGTTGGTAGCGGTCCTGCTATCAAGGTAAGGTGTTTCTTTTTGGCTGAGAGCACATGTTTCATAGTAGTAATCGGTGTTATTAATGCACGAGCCTCAATGCGGGGTGCAAAGCCAGTTTACGTGCACATGCGCAATGCGCAATGCGATGCGCACGCCCGAGTGAAGCGAGGCGCACTACACATAGAATTTTCCAGGATATAACAAACATGCATAAAGAAATATGTGATCATGAAACTTCACATAAAAAAGATATCAATGACTCAAAATAAATAATATAAACTATCAAAGTCATAAATAGAGTCTTAAGTCATAATACTAACACGCCCAAGTATTCACTAATATCGATGAAAGTTAAGTAATCTACTATAACAAAGCAAATAAGTAGCAAGATAATAGTCTAATGACTCTAATCATCCTCCTCAACAACAACATCCCCTTCAAGGGGAATATCTTCTTCAGTTTCCTCTACTTTGTTAAAACTCTTCATTTTCCGACTCTGAAAGCGGTTCCCTCCTTCTCGATGATGAACCACCACCACCACTCGAAGATCCCAGACCCCTACAATATTTATGAGTCTCAAAAAATATTAAATGAACAATGTAGCAAGCAACTACCAGCACATATCTAATAATCAACCAAAGCTTAGTGAATATTACTGCAGCAGCAAGCATAGGGCAATCAGTTCTAACTCAAAAGTCTCAAACAAAAGAAAAAGAAAGCCAAAAAAAAGAAGAAAAGAAAAAGACGAAGCAAGAAAAAGGAAAATGAAGAGAAAAGAGAAGAAACGTACCTCAGAGCTGGATTTTGATTGTTGCTTGTGGATCTCGATCATCGCTGGATGATATTGAAGAAAAAAAGGGAACAAAAGCGTAGAAAAAGAAGCCCTAGTTGTTATTTAGGATTTGGATTTAAATGTTAACTGGGTCCATACCTAATAACCCTCGAATCTGTTTTAAAATATGAAACAACATCTAAGTTCTTGAGGTCATCGACTCCTGCAAGGCGCACAGGGGCGCGCACATGATTGAAGATCACCCAATGCGGAGAGCCAATCTTGTGCGCCGAAGCGCCCGGCGCCCGAGGCACGTGCCGGACAATGCTTTTAATAACACTGGTAGTAATGATCTTTTGCACCTCTTACCCCTCCTGCTAGTACCTATACCTGATTTGTTTGTTTGTACCAAGCATTGAAACAAATAATGAGGAAATAACCTATACATTGCAACGCACAAGAAGAAATATATCAATTAATGTTTGGAAAATATGGCATCTTTGAACCCTATTGTGCAAATTATCCATAGTTATCAATTTTTTTCACTGTTTTAAATATTCGCGACATGGGCGATATATCGGCTGATTTATCCTTTCATAAGGCTTGCCACAAAATGATATGGTCTGTATGTCCTTTACCGCTTTTTGGCAATTTTTGAGCAATATAATCCTTGACTTGGCCAGCACATAGATGGATATGCCCTTTTATAATATTTCTTGTAAAACGATATGTTGTTTTTGGCAATTTTTGGGCAATATATCGTGACTTTTCTGATATATCAGGTGACATTTTGTCCTAACAAATTGGCAAAAATGTTACAGTGGTGATTTGGATTAGTATTTATTTTAAAAGATCAGTTTGGATTTATGGTTCAATAAAGGTCTAAATCCAAACAAATATCTGCTTATGTAAGTCCAAAAAGAAGAATTAATGCTTAACTGAGACCAAATTCTTTTACAAATGGTTTGCAATAGATAGTACCTTTCTTCACAGTTTCTTTCTTTAGTGCATCAAGAATGAATATCTATGATATAAATATGCACATTATCCGATATGACACTCCAATATTTAATAAGTATCCCCGATATATCCCGATATCTACCATCTACTGTGGAATTTTTTTCCGTCCGACATGTCCCTGACATCTGAAATTTAGGATACCGCTTCTTTGCAATTGCTCATAATTCTTTATGTACCTGTTTCTTTTATAGTCATAGATACATGTATACACAACTTCATGAAAGATTGGAATTAGCGCATCCTTTTTAAGGGTAGAGTTGTCCGCTGGTGAAATACACAAGCACATCTCCACGCTAGTAATACAACATTGAAGTTTTTTTCTTTTGAAATTGATAATGTTTACGACACAGAAGGCAGATGCAATCATTGTGATATCATTATGTCTTCAGAATTTATTGCTGGAGATGTGTACTTCAATTAACTTGTCAATGCTAATCAATTGAAACATCTATTTGATGAATGAAAGGTTATCTTCTGAAAGAGGAGTGGTTATATTACCTTATTAAGTGAACCGGACAACATGTAGCCCAGTCTTGGGCGTGACCTATGTTTAAACCATAGTTTTAATGTCTTGGGTGTGACCTATGTTAAAACCATAGTTTTAACCTGGGAGCCTGACTTGTGTAGTAGACCTGATTAGTTTGACCACATTATTATAATGAACTTAGTGTATGCGGAATTTGAATATCTTTCGTTTTTCAAGGGGGAAAACGCATACTAATAATCTTTTTCATAGATAGAATAGAATAACCTAACTTCTTATTAGGATTGATTTCATCGTACCTTTTGTTGAGAGTTCTTAACCTCTGTGTATGTATTCATTTAATTTCAGATACTTGTTGGTTGTAACTTAGTTGATCGGTTAATAATCATCCTTTTTAATCTATGTAAAGTAAATATGAATTGGTCAATCTTAATCTGTCCCATAGTTATTGAGAAGACAATCCTCCTTGTAACTTTAGATACTAATTAGTTATAACTTAGTTGATCGCTAAAATTGTCTATTTTTCCACATAATGATTAGTCAATCATAATCTGTCCCATAGTTATTGAGAAGAATATCCTCCTTGTATGAATTTTGGATTTATTCAAGCAGCCTTTTCTTTTTTGAGATATGAGTGCTCATAGCATTCAGACTAATTCTTTTCAGTAGATGTTTATTTGATGTTTGTTCTACATATCGAAGAGTACCGAGATGGATGAGTAAACTTAATTAATTTTGGTCACATGCTTTATAGTTGCTGGAATATACATACATAATCCTCATCCCTCATCCCAACTTCGGAGGTTTGGTGCAGTGGCAATGACTTTAAGATGGTATCAGAGCAACCCAGGTTCAAATCCCCCTTGACACAAATTTAAAGCGGATTTTCAAATAAATGACACCGCTGCATGAGTCAAGGTCTAGGCCCATAGAAAGGGCACTCGACTTGTGGGGGTATGTTAGAATATATAGTATAACTCTCAACCCTCACCACAACTTTAGAGTTTCGGTGCAGTGGTAGGGACCTTAAGATGGTACTAGTATGACCCAGGTTCCAATCCCTTGGCCACTAATTTAAAGCGAATTTTCAAAAAAATAAGACTGCTGCATGAGTCCAGGTTTAGGCCCATGAAAATTGCAGTCGACCTGTAGAGGTATGTTAGAATATATAATATAACCATTGACCCTCACCACAACTTCGGAGTTTGGTGGAGTGACAAAGACTTTAAGAATAGTTTTTAATGGAATATCACCCTGCTTATGCTGTCAGTCTGAAGCAAAGATGATATCTGGTTTGCATTTACAATATTGTAATTGTGACAGTTAGCATATATTCTTTTTTTTTTGTCCACCTAATCATTACTTGGAGCGGCTTACACTTTTTTATTCTCTACTTGTGTTTTTATCAGTTCACTCGAAAGAATTTAGGATATTGCTTTGGGTAACATCGAATCTTGGCTTCAATGACAGGTAGAAAAGGCTCATAATGGTGATCTTCATTGTGTTGATTGGAACCGCCATGATGAAAATCTTATACTGACTGGGTACGAGGCATGGCGTCCTTCTATTTAACTTTTCTACTGTAATTGGCATGTCATATGTTGTTTAAATTACTGTTCTTACAGCATAGCGCTAGAAGTTTTATGATATTTACTTGGCTGTTTGGCTTCAATGATTCAATCTCAAACTAGTCTCACCGTCTTTTATAAGCTTCATTTGTGATATTGTCTTCTCAGATCTGCTGATAGTTCTGTTCGTTTGTTTGATCGTCGTAAACTGATTTCTGGTGCTGTTGGATCACCTTTGCATATATTTGAAGGTCACACATCACCGGTTCTGTGTGTGCAAGTAAGTGGTTCATCGATTTTTATTCACTCGTCTTTTTAAGTTATTATTATTTTTGGGTTGTTTTATGATGCTCTTTCATACCTTTCTTGGTTGACTTTTAACTATTCCTAATTGTTCTTCCAGTGGTGTCCCGACAAAGCATCAGTTTTTGGTAGTGCTGCAGAGGATAGTTTTTTAAATGTTTGGGACCATGAGAAGGTAAATATGATCTTCCATTTTCTGTATGCCTCAGAACTAGAACGAGTTAATAAAAGATACAATGAGTTAATAAAGATATTTAGCTTGCAGATTGGAAAAACCAAATAATGGTCTATAGTATATCACGCTAGTTTAACATTTTTTTGTCTATTTATTTGGGAGGGGAATAGTTGGTTGGAGTGGCACAAATGGTTATATAAGATTGGTTAGCGAAAGGAATTAGGAATCCTTTCTATTTGTTTTTATGATATATGGTATGTGAATTTTATCCTTCAATAATAGTATATTCTTGTTATCTTTGTCTGGTATCTTTTAGTTCTTTTAGTTATTTATTTAGGTTTTTCACTGTTGAAGGAGGGAAAAAGAAAAGTGGGTGAGCATATGGTGGTCATTCTGTAGTCAGAAGTTACAAGCAAAAGTGCTTCCCAAGAGTCTTCATTAGACTCCTTTAATTTTGATAAATACCCATCATTTGTTCTTGTATGTGGCACTCATTGATAACTCCAGCTCCTAATATGTATACCGTAGTTTGCGTCTTCATACTAAATAATTCAAAATAGTTGGCTACATCTCATTTTTATCCAGAATCACAAGTTACTAGGCCTAAACCTCAACTACTCTAATGACAGGTCAACTCAATCCTTGAATGAAGTAGGTTGACTTGACTTTATGCAGGATTGACATTTTCACTCCAAATGGTGGTGGTTATTATATGCTCAAGTTCATTAGAGATGTTACTTGTATATGTTTTGGTTAGCTTCCACCAGCTGTATTTCATGCTGTGTAGGCTTACATGAGATGTACACTGTAGTTAATGTGGAAATTCGATCTGTTTTTAATGGTTATCATCATTCCTTTGTCTTACTTGCAGCATGCTTCTGTTATTACTGATATTTTTGTTATCCCAGCAAGGAAATAATTATATATAGTTTATATGTGTGTGTGCACGCGCGCATGTCCAGTTCACTAATTTTGTGGGTCCATAGTAAATTCCATGTTTTTGAGACCCTTATATTTACTGAATAACGCTAAACTTCCATGTTAGGTTGGCAAGAAGCAAGATCAAGTGGGAACAAGGACGCCAAAATCACCTCCTGGTTTATTCTTTCAACATGCAGGACACAGGTGATAACCACTCATGTATACATGTGTTTATTCTACCTTTGAAGTAGAATGCTTTCGCATTTTCTTATGATTGAGATCAGAGTTCTGGTTCAGAACTATAATTATATTTAAAGAAATGATGGAATTAATTTCTTTTTTCCCCTTAAAGTTATTTTTTTCTGATTCGGTCCGATACTATGTTTTTTGGTATATTCTGTCTGAAGATGCAGTATTTTTGTTTAGTGTGTAGACTTTGACTATTTTTTTTAATAATGTTCTATTCAGTTTTTTTAACATTAGCATATCTTTTTGGTATATTCTGTTTGAAGATACAATAGATTTGTTTAGTGTGTAGGTCCTGAACATTTTTATTTTCTATTTAGTTTTTTAAACATTAGCATATCACTATTCTATTTATAATAACATTACTTGGTTAGCTCATCATCTTCTTTTCATTAGTGGTTCTGGATGTTTTCAACTGGAATTGTAATGTTCTGTTCAAACACTTGACGTTCTTCAGCAGGTTGTCAAGCTTTGTTTCAGATTCTCCTTTAGATCTGTATGATGATAGAGAATGTCTTTTAGTCGAATGATTTAGTTACATGCTCTAGGACAAGATGATTACCTTTTTATATGGAGAAAATCATGAGTTGGGTTTCTAGTAGCTCTCCACAGCTAGCTATCAGCTCTGTTCCATCTTTGTTTTATTTCAAGTCCACCATCTTTTGTTAGCATTATGATACTTTTTCCTTGTGGTGGATACAATATCAGTAGGACAGTTTCTAGATCATGCGAAGAACATCCCAACAATTACCATCCCCATTATTATTAGGATGAGGGTTAATATAACTATTACCGAATTCCCTCTCATGCCTTACCACTAGGCACTACCAAATTCCCTCTCCTGCATTGCTACCCTTGCGCACTGCATTTGTGAATCTAATTATCCTATTCAACCCCCCCCCCCCCAAAAAAAAAAAAAAAAAAAAACACACACACACACACACTCAACCGACACCCAAAGAAAGGGAGAAAACGCGCGTGCCTTACCACCAGTATACATTATGTTTCTTTTTATTCTAAGTCTGCCCATATCCATGAAAGGTCAAAATAATCTTCACAGGATGATATACTTAGAGTGAGTGCGACAAGCGTAAAGCTGTTTCTTCTTTGTCTTCTCTGTTTTTCGTGTGTATATATTTTCTGGTTTTTGAACTGACGCTTGACCTCTAGTTAGTGAACAGGTGGTGGTCTGGTTTCTTATTCAAAGGGAGTTGTGTTCGTGTCTTTATATTTTCTGGTTTTTTGAATTGATGCTTGACCTCTAGTTAGTGAACGGGCGGTAGTCTGGTTTCTTATGCAAAGGGAGTTGTGTTTCTCTAAGATGGTCTTGCTAAAAGATCTAGTTTAAATCTGTATGCATGCAGGAACTGATTACCTGGAACTTAAATAAATAGGTTCATGCTTGGTTGTTATTATTTCTGTAGTTAACTTTTCAGTGGTAACATTTCCTTATTGTAGTTTTGTTTCTCATCTTTGGCTGCAGAGATAAAGTTGTTGATTTCCACTGGAACACTGAAGACCCCTGGACCATTGTTAGTGTATCTGACGACTGTGAGAGCACTGGTGGTGGTGGGACTCTGCAGGTATGTTTGTGCTTATTTTGTTGAAAGTGTACTAGATGATAAGTTTGTTGCATGGAAATTGAGAATAAACAAAATTAAATATGGTATTTTGGTCCTAATTTATTGTCCCTTATTGTCCCTTTCACATTTCACATCATTCAATTCTTTCTATACTAGAAGGGGTTTAGTTAGCAATAGAGCCGAATTCATCTATGAGGCTCGAAAAGAATTAAGTTAGATTCATTAATTGTGGGATTGTTAGCTAACTATTTCCCTTTTGAAGTTCAATAGTTCTAATTTGTCATCTGATTTAATATTTGGTGCTTGCATTTAAATGGAACAATTGATCATATTTGAGATATCAACCTATCTGTTTGATAAGATACATGCACAACCAGGTAGCATCCCTGCAGATTCCATTAAGAACTAGAAAAGGTGAAAGGAAGACGAAACTATATCCATTTAGGCTGATAATTGTACCTAGTCATGCAATTTAGATAGCCAAAATCATCTACAACACGGACCAAAAAGCATCTACAACGCGGACCAAGCATCTTATATTCGAGTACCAAGCATCTACAACACGGACCAAAAAGCTTAAACAAGCATAAATGTGATGTCATTCTTTATCATTGCATGCATGCATGAGAACTGTCTTGCTAAAGCCTTAAGCTTCAGGATTATGGTGCTAGTGTTCCACAATCAACTAAATTTGCTTGCGAAATCTTTTCTACTACCTTTATTAAAAGTGCAGTGTTTCCGTAATTTCATCATAAAATTTGATGTTATGTGCGGGCTTTGTTAGCTAATATATGTCTTTTGTTTCGGTTTCTCTCTGCCCTCACGAGTTTACGTCGTGTTTAATGCAGATATGGCGCATGAACGACCTAATCTACAGGCCGGAGAGTGAGGTTTTAGAGGAGCTGAACTCGTTTAAAGATCACATACTATCATGTGCACCTCTTAGGACCTGAAAGCTTGGTTAGCATGCTCCTATTTCCCCCAGGGGTTCAATCTGGTGTCTTTGGAAGAGCACATATGTTCAGCATTTAGCATCTGTAATAACCATTTTAAGTTAATGTGGGATTGTATGTCATTAGATAGTAGTAAGCTATCATCATTGACAATTGGAAACTGCTTTAACTATTAACTGTTTTGTTGTTGTTGTTGTTGTCACTATTGCTGCTGTTGCTGCCTGCATTGTCATTGAGCAGTCATGAAACTGTGTTGGCTTAGTGTTTTCTAAATCTCAGTATCATGTGTTCATGAGCAACTTAGCATCATGCTTTCACTGATTTTCACAGCTTCATGTCTTAGTGGCCTCTTTGTAGTAGAAGGCTGGGAAATTATGTGAATTGAAGATGGCAGGTAGAAATGAATGAGTTCAATGTAGTCCATTGGTGTACTTGGTTGTAGAAGTTCTTGGAATTTCCTTTTTACTAATCTTTTATGTATTTCCATGGTATCTAGTTAAGGCTAAGTTTACCAATTTTACAGTTTGCTTTGTTAGGGGGGAATGCCATATCAGGTTGTATTTTATGTGCATTAAGTATTCACTTAGCTAAGTTAAATGCGATATATTTTTACAGTTTTTTTCTTTTTTTCTTTTTCCTTTCTATGCATTTTAGATACAAATGCCATTTTGTATTGATCGTGTTAACAAAATGCGCGCAAATGATTCAGGTCATTTAATTTTTTATGTAGGTCTGTTCCGACCAAATCAAGCAAATAACTTTTATTTTAATCAAAATACTACTTAGTTGTTGAGATAATTTATCTTTCATGTTTAATCTCTAACCATTTATAAATAGCTTTCAGTAATATTAAGATTAATTAATTATTGATTTAATTAACATAGAAAAATGTGCTTAAATAATTTCGTTAAACAAATGATCATTTTAACTTTGTAAATTGAGAAATGAGCAGTAAAGTGATGTGGCACTTAATAATTTTGAAATCTACCCCTCAAATCATGGAAACTCTGTTTAGGGTTGGACATAGTCTGGGTCGACCTGTGGACTAATCCGGCCAAGCCCGTCATTGGTCACAACTTGGCCAGCCCGTAGTGGGTCGGGCTTGATCCGGCTCGTGATATACTCAGGTCACGCATTGGGTTGGGTTTGGGTCTAGTCCTTGACCTGATATCAGAGAAATAGACTCAGCCCACCATTGACCCAGCTCGATGCAAAATAACGATCACAAGGATAGCAAACAAGACATTTTCTTGAAGAATTTGATGAATATAACTCGGAGGAATTCGGCTCTTTGAACATTAATGGTTAACATTTTTTTTCTTTTTCCCTATTGTATTTGTAATTTAAATTTAAATTAAAGGAAAGTTGTTAACTTCTTGTGGATGTAAATCTTTCTTCAAAGTCCAAACCATAGACATCTATGTTTGCGATGTTTTTCTGTATGATGTTTATCTTTGTGTGTGTATATATCATCTTATATAAAGAGTGAAGTAGCAAAAAAATTATTAATAGATATGAATACAAAGTTAATACAGTTTAGAAATTAGAAATGAAAAAATTAGGAAAAAGTTAAAAAAACCTATGGGCCGACCCATGACCCGTGGGCCGTGGGCCAACCCAACCCGGTCCACCCCTAGGTTGATCGTGGGCAGGGTAAGGTCCAATCTCAGACCCGGGATCAGAGAAATAGGCCCGGACTACTCTGACACGGGTAGCCCAAGTCAGACCTGGCTTGGCCTTGAACTCAGCGGACCGGGTCACAGGTCTGAATTGGTCCAACCCACGCCCACCCCTACTCTTGTTAGACCCGTAATTATTAGAAGCCAATTAGCCAAAATACCAATTTAGCCTATAAAGTGACACACTCTGACCAATAAGGCTTAAAAAATGGTACTGACGATAATAACACCTATAAATTAATACAGTTCCACTTAAATATACTCCGGTCACCAAAATTTTGATTTGTGCTAGAAAATTTTGAAACTTTGCATATATACCCCTCGTATCTCTCACACTTATAAATTTATCATCGAAATTAAAATATTTGCATAAAAATCTAACTCTCTTTCATTTTAGCTTCTCTCCCCACTTCCCTCACTTTCCTTCTCCACTTCCTCCGCTCCTTTCTCCACTTTTAAGTTAGTGTTTAAGGGGAGAGAGGAGAGAAGGGAATGAGAGGAGAAGACTGAGATGAGAACATAGAGACGTTAAGGGGAGGAACATAGGTGGAGGAGGGAGAAGAAGAGGTGAATGTGAGGATTTTGGGAAGGAGGAAAGATGAGAGGGAGGAAGAAAAGTGAGAGGAAGAGGATGAAACAGATGGTGGAGAGAGGGAAGGAGAGTTTTGGAAAGGAGAAAACAGAAGAGGAAGTATTTTGGGAATGGGGAGAGTGGAGAGAACAAGATAGATGGGAGAAGAGGAGGATGAGGGAGAAGAGAAGGATGAGATGGGGAAGGAGGGGAGGGAAGAAGGGAGAGAGAAAGAGAGAGTGTGTGCAAGAGAAATTTTTTATAGATATTTCAAAATTTAGAGGGTAAATGTGTAAGTGTGAGATATATTAAGGGTATATACACAAAAATTTTATACTTTTCACCGACAAACCAAAATACCGCGGAGTAGGTTTAAATGGTTAACTAATTAATTTATATATGTTATTGTCACCTGCGTATTTTAGCCGAAGGCGATTCAAAAACAGCCCCTCAAATCATAAAATTTGGTATTAGGTTCTCGAATTCTCATACCCTGTCCACCATCTAAGGCAGAGGCAACAGGACACGAGACTTGGGGTCTTCATGCCAATTTCAATGATCTGAGGGACTAATATGAATTAAACCCAACGTAGCCTATGATCAGAAAATATTTTCGAGATTCTCATGCTTTGCGGGTATTTATATACGTAGTGATAAATGAATCCCGTAGTAACTTCCAAAACCCTAGAACCCCCCACCGTCATCCATGGCCCAATCCTCAATTCCCTCCTCCGACGTTGAGGCGGCGTCCCGCAGCGGGTTTCTGCGCATGGGCCTGATTCCCGCGGTTTTTTGCGGGGTCACGGAGACGGGATACGCAGTCCCCAGCAAGATCCAGCGAAAGTCCATCCCTTTGATCCTCGCCGGCGCCGACGTCGTCGCCGTGGCCCCGACGGGATCGGGAAAGACCGTGGCTTTTCTCGTACCGATGATCCAGAAACTGAGGGAGCACGTGCCGGGAGCCGGGGTTAGGGCGCTGATCCTGTCGCCGACGAGGGATTCGGCGATTCAGACCTTGAAGTTTACTAAGGAGCTCGGGAGATACACTGGTCCGCTCTTTAATTTATTTTTGTTGGTTTTAAAAAAAAAAAATCCATTTTTGGAGTAGGGATCACTGAAAGGTTAGATTTTGATGACAATATGCTAAGCATGTATTAGATGTGTTATAACTGAGATGAATGTGGCGCAAATCATAATTTTTTGCTCTTTTCACACGAAAAGGAAAGCCAGAATGTGAAAAAAAAAACGATTTTTGAATTAGGAACATATAGAATTTGGTTGCACTTAACTAGTAAGTCATTATTCATTTTCCTTGTTTAGCTCAATGTAAAAGGTGATATTTTTTCAGGGTTAATTGAATATTGACATGGTTGAAATTTTTTATTCCTTTGCTCTGGTTGAAATTTTGGCGGATATTACCCCTCGGTGAAGTAGTTAATGTATCTTAGGTAAAAGAGTGAGGGGGAAAACAATCATTTATGGGGTCTATTTGCAAAAATCAAACTAAGGGGTAATACATTTTTGCGATATTACATGAGGTCTAGGTGCGAAAGAAGGTGAATTGGGTGTCCATAGAGCCAAATGTAGTTATTTTTTAACTGGATTTGTATGACATATGATCTTGATGACGTAGCGCAACACAAGATTTAAAGTATGTGAAGATACAAAAACAAATAGTATCAAAGGGGCACAACTAAAAGGTGATGTTTTGATGAGATACGCTTATTATTTATCAGACATACTATCACTAAAATATATAAGCTATAAATCATAATTTGTTGTTCTTTCAGATGAAAAAGATAGGTAAATTGTGTATCCATAGAGCCAAAACAAAGTTAAAAAAAAGGAACACATGACTACATGAATATAATTTTGATGGCGTAAAATAAAATTTCGAGTATTTAAGTTTAAAAGCAGCTTTACTTGTTTATTTTATTGGGTTTACTATAGTAATTTTGACAGTTTGTCGATTTATGTAGATCGATCTGTGCGCTGGTCTTTTGGTTTGTAGAGATGGCATGGAAGACCAATTCGATGAACTGGCCCTTAATCCTGACGTAATTATTGCGACCCCTGATGGTCTCATGAATTATATCATTGAGGCTGAAGGAATGTCTCTCCGTACTGTAGAATATGTGGTGCTTGATGAAGCTGATAGTCTCTTGAGCATGGGGTTTGCTGAGCAACTGCAGAAGATTCTTTTGCAGCTAAGCGAAACCCGCCAGACTCTAGTATTTTGTGCTACCCTGCCTAAAGCCCTCGCTGAAGTTGCGAAGGCCAGCCTTCGTGATCCGAAGCTCCTGTTGCTCGATGAAGCAATCAGCTCAGATCATCTTTCTTTGGCGTTCTTTACAGTACGCCCTGACGAGAAAGTTGCTGCCTTGCTGTATTTAATCAGGGAGCAGATTGGCTTGGGACAACAGACGATGATATTTGTTTCTACAAAGTATCATGTGCAGTTTCTGAATGTTCTTTTTAGAAAAGATGGCATTGAGTCTTCAATGTTATATAGCGATATGGACCAAGATGACCAAGATGCTCGAAAAATCAATATCTCGAATTTTAGAGATAGGAAGACTACGGTGCTTATTGTGACAGATGTTGCTGCAAGGGGCATCGATACTCCCTTGATCGATAATGTGGTGAACTGGGATTTCCCTCTGACGCCTAAAAGTTTCGTTCACAGAGTTGGCTGAGTAGCTCGTGCAGGTCGAAAGGGTATGGCCTGTTCATTTGTCACACCGGAGGACATGCCTTATCTCTTGGACCTCCATCTCTTTCTCTCAAAGCCTCTTCGACCTGCTCCAACAGAGGAAGAGGTCCTTCAGGACATGGAAGGAGTCTATTATAGAATCAACCTGGCACATGCAAACGCAGAAACAGTGTATGGACGTTTTCCCCAGAATGTCATAGATCACGTTTCTGATAGAGTTCGAGAGATCATCGATGGATGCACTGAAGTAATAAAATTGCAGAAGTTATGTGCAAAAGCGTTTCGCAAGTATACGGAGAGTAAAGCTCAATGTAAACCTTCAACGGAATCCTTACAAAAAGCAAATGATTTGCCTCGAGAAGGGCTGCATCCAATGTTTATGGGCAGCTTGTTGGGATCCGACAAACTGACAGCAGTTGCATTTTCTGATCGTCTGAAAATTTAAGAGCATTTAGGTTCGTGCTCATTTAGTTGAATTTTGCTTAATTTGCTAGTTTCAGATGTAGTATTTGTTGAGTTCTGCTTAATTTTAGGCCTTAATTTAGTAACCATGGATCCAACTTTTTTTTCCCAGTCAACTTCACTGTTTGATTGGTATGTAGCTAGAGATTCTGAGTCCATCATGAATTAAGTTCAACATTTATCAGATGGATATTTGATTGATATTTAATGATTAACTCTCTTCTATTTGTATGCACCTATGCGACATAATCTGCTTCTCTGTGCATGTATATGTGTATTTTTCTTACATGTATTTGTATATATTAGAGAGCAGCGTAGCTACATACAAAATAGCAAACAGAGAGCTTATGGGACTAGAAATCATAATATAATGAGGCCATAATATATTCCACCCATTAGTGCCTGAGCTATGGTGGAGATAATTTCACTCCTCATGTATCAGTAAAGACCATAGGGCACTTCAATCTTAAATAAAAGAATTAATTAGCGAATTAAAGATACAAATTCTCCAGTCATACAAGTATTTTTTTTATTTAAAAAAGAAGAATACAAAGAACCATCAACAGTCTTAATAATAACAATTTTCTTACCTGTCAATGCTCAAGCTCTGTTCATGTAGTATTCTCTTTTATTGCTTCCGTTTAAAATGTCAATTTCCATATCTGAACCGAAAGCTTTACATCACACCTCTTACTCGAGTTCGAATGTGGTATAAGTCTCTTCTTACCATTGGGTACTGCTACCTCAATTCCAGCACAGGCAATGCGGACTCCAATCATTTTGGTCTTCAAGCCAGCAATCTTAACCGCAACCTCTGTCTCCATCTCAATCTTTATCCTCAGGCTCCTTTTTCTCTTTAAGCTCTCTGTCATTCTCTCGTCTATCGCCCTCCCAGTACCTTCCACCAAGGCCTTCAGTTTAGTCGTGTTCCCTGTCCTATGAACAAATGCCGGAAAATACCCATCGCCTATTGGAACTCCGTCATAGGTGGCAGAAATGGAAAATGGGCTGTAGAGAAATTTTACCTTGGTATTTTGATTGTTCGCAATGACGGTGAGGTTTAAGGATGAAGCAAGTTGGTTCTTGCTCAGTTTAAAGGAGACAAATCGTAAGGAGGTGATGGAATAATCTGGACGATGGGGATGATAAAGAACGTAGAAAACACCAGTTGCTATAGCAAATATGAAAACAAGAGCGAAGAGGAGAAGCACGAGCCAGAGGAAGAGGGTGCACGAGCGATTCTTTTGGCGTTGGCGAGCCCGAAAGGGTGGAGGCGGAGGCTGATGATAGGCTTTTGCGACAGGAACGAGACGAGCAACATGACCAGTAACGGTTGCATTTAATGGGCGAGGAGGTCTATGATTAGGATTTGGATTTGAATTATGGTCTGGCTTAGAGGAGGAAGGAGCTTTCTCATCCATCTCTACTACCTTTTCGTAATGGAGATATCAGAGGAAGAAGAAATTATCTCTTTTTCCTCTCTACTCAGTCACTATTTATAAAGGATAAACCAATCTTTCCATGAAATGGAAAGTGTTCAGTGGATGGAATTGAATTGAGTTGGCGAGGGAAATTTCTGATTTTTTTTGAATTTTGAAGGTAATAAACACATTCTTCTTTTACTTACAGGTACAATGTGCTTTGCAATTTCATGATTGGCAATATCTAATCAGTTGAATTTTAATGACCCACATATTAAAACAAGACAGCTATATACATGCACATATGAATATCTTTTTGGAAATAAAACTGTGACATGCAATAAAAGTGCTGGTATATACATGCGGCCAGGGTATCAGCAAGTCCTATTGAGTGAGTTGTGTAGCTATATAAAATGAATTTTCTATGAAGAATTATAGCTTTCTATGTTTAAACCTCCAACAGGCATCATGAAAATAATAGGAATAATAAGATTATACCTCCAAACTAGCGTCGCCGCTTAATTCAGTAAAATTAAGTATGTGTAAGCACGAATAAATGAACTTGAATAACAATGAAATTCTCTACGATATATTCAAAGTTAGGCATACAGAAAGGTAAATTATTAAAGTTGAAATTATCTGAACTTCAGTGCTAAGTTTAAATACCTGAGAGAAGTTACAGTTCTATCTGATATTTTTTTTAAAAATTAAAAATGCTGATCAGATCTGATTGAAAATAGAATCAACCTATGAACTTGACAGATCAGTCACTTTTATTCCGATCCTCAAGCTTTTTTCTTGAGTTTGTAAGTAAACATTTAGTAAATGACTTATTTAAGAAGTTTTTTGTTCTCTACATATTATTTGTGCAAGTACCTTTATAGGATTCTAGTTTCAGAGCCGTGCATGGGATCAGCCAGTAATAATTTAGATGGATTGGGAGGTAACAGCTTGCCTAGGAGCTAGAAGATGAGACGAACTTTAGAAACCGTTCTAATGACTCTTCGGAAATTTTCAACAATTAAATCTACTATAACATGTAGCCTAACCCTCTTGGGCATCAAGAAAATCAAATTTAATAAATCAAAAGAAGCAAAATCAAATTTATATTTTGGTGCAAGCTCCTTTATAGGACCCTATTTTTACAGTCGTGCATGGATCAGCCAGCAATAGTTTAGTTGGATCAGAAGGTAACAACTTTTGCATGAGCTAGAGGATGAGACAACCTTTATCAATTGTTCTAATGACTCTTCCGAAATTTTCAACAATTGAATAAACTATGACATAGTGCCTAAACCTAGTGTGTGTGTACACGACACCCCCCCGCCCCGGGGCATCAAGGAAATCAAACAGTTCTAACTAAGAATTAAGAAATTAAAAGAAACAAAATGAAAATTAGATGGACGAAAATGGTAAACCATTTTATTGTTAATGGTTTTTTTTTTTTAATTTGCCCCAGTACTTGTGCCTTTGGAAATGGTGTGCTAGGCAATATGGTGTCAGAGACCGATCCATTTATTTTAGATATCACTCAAGACATAGAGGATCTCGATAAGTTCATTTGACCTGAAGACGGAAACTGGTTCCTATATATCCTGATAGTAATACAAATGTATATAAGGATTTTACAGTATCCTCGTAGGAATTTTTTTTATACACGGGATTAAAATTTACTTTTGGTGAGTATATACTGTTGAACCAAATGTGCTCGGAATCTACTTATAGATTATTGCTCAGATATTAGAGGGGAGGGTTGTGAGGGCAAGAAGCTTGTAATTTTCTTGCTTGAAGACAAGCTTTCGAGTTGACTAGAGATCCTTGCCTTCACATCGGCTACTTTAAAACACTCAAAACTTGGCATGATAATTGACATCCTTTTATGACACCCTCAGTCCTTAACTAGAGATTTAATTCAAACATCGCAGGGCGTCATTTATCAGTTCGACTCTAATGCAAATGGCATCAACCTTTGAACCTGTTGATAGTTTGGTCTGAGTCAGACTCTTGATATTTCCTTTCTTCTTGGCTCAATTGTTCTGCTCGTGGTTTTTCTTCAGTCATCTGACTGTAGAATGAATTGCTAAGAATCCAGAGTTATGTTCTATGAAGTGAATGGATATAGGATAGCAAGGTGGTTTGTTTTGGTCAGATTTTGGAATACATGAAATACACAGACATACCTTAGATCCCTTCTGTTTAGCTTATGCAGCATGCTGACACCCGAGGTCAACTAATCGCGTTAAAGATATATCCCAGTCAGAAACTAGGCAACTGGAGGTCGTTAGATTTTGCTGAGTTAAGAATAAAGGGAAATCTGACATTTATTTCGCCAACCATTTGATTCCTTCATCTAATTTCTATTGCCTAAATCAGATTATCTCTCAGAACTACTGGATTTGGAATGAGTTGCACTTTTTATTTTCAGAACAATCTTGAAAATCAATTCTATCAGGGTATTGACTGTAAAACATAAATAGAAGATTGGAAAGGCTAACTTGGAAAACAAAGGGAAACGAGACTGCATAAAAATGTATTAGTACAATGGAAATTAGTAATTAAGGGTTCTTAGCTAAGCTTATTATCAAGTGAACTGAAAAGATTGTGTTGCAGATTTCCAGGTTCAATCCAATTTGATGTGCCTGTAGAAGTTCGCAAAATGGTCATCATTATGTGTCTTATCTGAAAAGACCAGTATTTACATGTTAAGTATCCTGTCATAATAATACAAGTTGTCTGAAAATTCGATATGATTATATACTATGATCGTTCTAATCCTTAAACTATATGGTTCCCTAAGATCTATGTTTTAGGGAATTGGCAAACATTTGATAAATTTTCTGAAACTATTGTGTTGGTAGTTTTTTTTAGCTCTTGTAGGTAACACAGGCTACTGATTATAAGGATACTGATGCTCCTAAGAGATGAGAATAACATCCTTGTGATTGCTCATGCTACTTGTTTGTACTCGTATCTGCTACTTTCTTAGTATGATAAACTTAAAATTTGCGGCTTTTGTTGACTATTTCATGCAAATAGTTCAAAATTTAAGTGTTACTAACAATTTGATTATATCTTAAAGAGTTGCTATTTATCTACCGAAATCACTTAAATTGTTAGACATCGACATCTTCCATGACACTGACATCGGCATGTACACTGACACTGATTCATGAGACACCACACTACTGATCCTTATGAGCTTTATTTTATATTATAGTTCTTATATTATATTATTCATTATTTACTTCACTTTTCCTTTGTAAACAATTTGGATTTGCTCTGACAATCTTGGAATTGGATACCAGATTCAAGGCCTGAGTTCGCAGATCGAGAGTAGTTCGTGAAAAGCATCGGTTAGCTGCGTCAACGTCATAGTCTTAATTTTCCTTTCCAGTCAATATACTATTTTCTAGTTTACTCTTCAATAAGAAGATTATTTCCTAGTTTAGTTACACGAACCACTTTGTGATCATATTTTAATTTCCTAGTTGAGACATTGATACCGTACTTGTCATTTCTCTTGATATATCCTTCTGTTATTGGGACTTTTTATTACTGAATTTATGCGCGACGCATAAAACAAAGTATCAAATTGTCCACCATATGTTTTTGTTTTTGGTAAGCAATAAAAAGTAAAAGGAAGTAGAAGTGTACCTGTTGAGGATCGTCGTCGCTTATTTGGCTCAGAAACCTGCCGAAATCAGTCCTGTTCTTCCTTCACAGTGCACCACCAAGAACACAAAGGGAGAGTTCACTGATCTCCTCTGATTTCACTCACAAAGAGGAAAGGGATTGCACAAAGGGGTGAGAGCACAAAGCTCACAGGAGGGGGATCGCACAAAGCTCACAGAAGGGAGATCGCACAAAGCTAGAGGAGGGCTCAAGCTCAGCTTTTTTCACTCTCTCTTCTTCCTTCTCTCAACTCTCTCTTTATCATGGGTTCATCCGACAGGAAGAGATGGGCTAGAGAAGAAAAACGGAGGGAGCCGACCTATGGATGGGCTAGGGCATGGAAAAATGGGAGCCGACATCAGAGAGAGAACGAAGGAAATAAAGTCAGCAGCAGAAGACAAAGGGTGAGGGAAAATGGGAACTGGGCCTAGTAGCATGGGCCAGTATATTTGGGCCAACTAAAATATCAACAATCTCCACCTTTGGCCCAAGGTAGTGCACAGAGAAACAACACGGAACTGCAGGACTCATCATCGCCAAATTATTACTTGTATGATCACAAAGAAGATACAAGCAATGGAAGAGAATACACAAAGTAAACTCAGATCACTAAGATCGGGGTAAAATCACCAAGCATACCAAGTCCACAAAGGACCGAACTCTACCAAACGGTCATCGAGTTCAAAGAGAAAAACACAAAGCTATTAACAAGCACAAAGCAAGTTAATAGGCCACAAAGGCAACAAACAAAGCAAAGTCAAATTACCCAAAATCAAAATTCAAGATTCTTTGACACGAGATAAATTTTTCAGCAGGCAAACACTTAGTACCCATGTCAGCAGGATTAAATTCTGAGGGAATTTTCTCTAACTTGACAATACCCTTTTCAACTATATCCCGAATGTAATGAAATCTAACATCAATATGTTTAGTTCTATCATGAAAAACAGGATTTTTGCAAAGTTGAATAGCAGATTGACTATCAGAAAATACAACCACATTTTTATCAAGAAAACCAATTTCAGATATAAGGCCCCTAAGCCAAATAGCTTCTTTAAAAGCTTCAGTGGCAGCAACATACTCAGATTCAGTAGTAGATAAAGCAACAATGGGTTGTAATTGGGATTTCCAACTTATGCAAGAGCCACACAAAGTAAACACATAGGAAGTGGTAGATTTTCTATTATCCCTATCATTTGCATAATTAGAATCTACATAGCCAGCAAGTTTGACACCTTCAGAACACTTAGAAAAGGTTAATCCTACATCCACAGAGGATTTCAAATATCTTAAAAGCCACTTCAAGGCATTCCAATGAGGCATACCAGGGTTTGACATATATCTACTCAAGCAACTAACCGCA